ATATTTGGTCGAAGTGGCGATTCAAAAACAGATACATATTGTTACATACAGTCTAAAACGCTAATTTTAAATCTACCTTCCATATCTGCGAAGCGCCTTTCTAAAAGAAGTTAAGGAGGTTTTTCTCTATCAAAAGTGGCTCACAGGACCTAAATTAAAGTGCTCAAAAAAACTTGACCCAAAACAGCAGCGCGAAAGCTGACTAGATACAAAATATGTCTCTATAATAAGATTGAACCATGCTTCTTATTTCTGGTTGGATTTGATGTTGTAGAGCAGTTATTGACGAGGCGCACAAGCTAATTTCAACATGAAAAAGCTTCCATAACTTCTTTCAGAGAAACGCTTTGCAGATATGGAAAACAGATTTGGAATAGCTGCATCTACCAGTATTCATCATTTTTTGAATCGCCAATTCCACCAAGTATCCTTCCCTTATAACTACCTCCTTGCACTAACCAGTAAATTGCTGCCGTTGGAGTTAGTCCCGCCTTTTTCGATAAATTACGGTACGGTACATTACAGTCAGGCAAGTTCTTAAGCAATTTTTTTTAAACTTCCAAAATCAAATGAGCAACGAATGCCTGTCTATTATTTTAGTATCGTAAAGTATTTAAGTATGTCAAATATCGACTTCGTTCGGATGGAGTACACACTACAGCTAACATTCCGTCAGTACTGGAAGGATTCCAGACTGGCTTATGGAAACCTATTCGCAGAAGGGATAATGCCAAATTTTTTAATCGTTACTCAGCCCGATCTTATATGGATTCCAGACACATTTTTCTTGGTAATCTGCTGCAATACTACTAACTAAATGTCAATGCTGTATGCACATTATAGAATGAAAAGCAGGCGCATCGGCATAACATAGATAAGTTAAATGTTATGATAAGGATCTATGCAGATGGAAGTATTTTGTTTTCTGAGCGAATATCTCTCACTTTGTCATGTGCTATGCATCTTCAGGTATATATCAGGTTCTAATTACTTAACTACAAGTGTCTTCCCTTTAGAAATATCCCATGGACGAACAGACGTGTGCCTTACAATTAGCATCGTACGCATATACAACTGATGACATCGGTATGTAT